GGGGGTTGGGAGGGGGGTTTGGTGCTGGTGCTGGTGGAAGAGGAAGGAAGAAGGGGAGGAAGAGCGGCGGTTCCAGGGGTGATGAGGCTGAGGTGGAGGTAGGCCCATGTTGTGTTGCGGAAAGTGGATTGGTAGAGAACATGTGTTTGTTTATTCCCTTTTTTGCGCTTTTTGGCGGCAGGGCCAGTGGGGTTGTCGGGGTCGTGCTGGGTCTCGGGTGGTGGTGATGTGACTTTTGAGTTTGGCGCTGTGGTCGATTGGGCCGGTGGGAGGATGGTGGTGTCTGATGTTGCCGGAGACATGTGTGGGATTGTGTTTGTCATTGTTTGGGAGGGGTTTTATTGTGCTGTAGTTTTCGTAGATTAGATTGGGAACAGAAAGGTTGGGCTGTGAAGGGTGAAGCTGTAGGACGTGAACTTTTAGCGGGGTCAAGTAGCGCGTTTTCTGATGTCCGAAGCGCACACTGGCTGCCTTTGGTAACACAGACTTGTGCAAGGGATGCTTAAAATCGTCTGTGTATAATAGATCACCCACCTAGACTCCTCCAAGAAGACTACTCATGTCTTATTAACTTTCATGTTTAACTCGGCTAATATATCCGAGCACGTAATTATGTACTGCTATCACCTGTAGAGGCTCTCCAATAAGCCTAAGACCGTGTGGCCACGTCCCCCAATACTAGTCTAGGAAAGAAAGATAAGTACGTTGACCCCATTGCTAGGAAGAAGGAAAGACATCGGGGGTATCTCTTGCTGCGTGAACTTAGGAAAGTGACGCCATTTCGCTTTTGAGCATACTGAAACATAGTAAAAGAAAAGAGAACAAATGAAGTGGCTTGTTAAGCAGTGGCACTGTTGCAAAAGAACCACTCTTGCACCCAGCAAATCAACCAGCCATGTCATGTGACATCAAGAGGAAAAAGGCCGCCGTATCGTAGATGTCCTGGTGTCATTCATCATTGATGCGACTCCAACATGTCGTTCTTCAGATTATATGTCCAGTCTAGTTCAAGTGGTTTCTTCGCCGACGTATTGATGTTTACGCTCTGGAGGTGGTCTTGCAGCTCGGCAATAGCGACATACATGACACCGAGCTGGGGCAAAAATACTGCGTTGTCGTCGATTATCTCCTTGACCTTAGCGAGTCCTTTTTCTAAATGCTGTATTGATTGTGTATCAGCTTTGGAACTTTGCAACTGCTGTTCAATCATCTGAATGGAATGACTGAGTGAGTCCAGCGCTGATTTGCTGGCAGATGTCGCCACTGCTCCATTTACATAATGCAGTCGAAGTTGCAGATCCTGCAAACCACTCTGCAAAGCGTCAGTCTGCTTCTTTAGCGCATCGACTCTCGTCAACGTTTCCTCAGCAGTAGTATCGACAGCATTTGCGAGACTGCGCGGGTTCTCATTTCTGTCGGACTGTTCTGGAATGATTTTGGAAGGATATTGTTTGTTCAACAAGTTTTGCAACTCGTTGGAGCGCGACTGAAGATGTGACACATCCCGCTTGAGAACTGCAAACTGCTGCAACATACTAGCGCTGTTCGAGGGATGCATCTGCAAGAACCAATGGACCATCTTCTGGTGTACGTCATCGGACGTAATATTTTTGTACTGGTCGTATAGGTTTTGGAGGGTGAGACGAAAAGCATCCATTTGCCTCACATCCGATTCGGCTTTGGTGGCCAGTCGGCTGCTAAGGTCGCAAACAGCTTTTTCTCGTGTCACTTTCTCGTCCAGTATTGACTGCTCAAGGCGCTCAAGATTTTGCCTTTCTTTGCCCATCTCAGTATGCCCTATTTGGTTCTCTTCAATCTGAGCGACTATCCGGTCTACTTTCTGTTGAAGTGGATCAAACTTATCGTAGAATTGTTTGGGGACGCTGTCTTCTAAAACAGATATTCGAAGGCCTTTATCAGAGGCGTCACGTTCCAGATTCTCTATTACTTCATCCCAACTCTCGAGTCGATCTTGGAAGGATTGATTTGCCCCATCTGATAGCCGCAATTGGACTTCTGTGCGTAGTCTGGTGAATTCTAACTCCACATGCTCACGAAGTTGGGCCATATCAGCAGCTATCTTCTCATTCGACTCGACATGTGTCTCTGAATTGGCCTGCTTATCCAGGCGCAGCTCGTTGACCAATTTTTCAACGTGCGATAATCGTAACGAGGTAAAGTTGACCAAGTCGTCAGTGGTGGCCGTGGTCTCGGCCTCCGTTGGCGGAAAAGATGATGGAAGACTTTGTACCAAAGTTCCCGGCTTGAGGATAGTTTTCTCCAAATTGTCTACTCGTGTCGCAAGCTTTGATTGTTCGCTCTGAACATTCTTAACCTGCCCGATCTGGGTTGAAAATCTGTGAAGGCGATCCTGGGTCCGTCTATCAGCTTCCTCGAACCCTTTTTGAAGCGATCTAATATCAACCTCAACTTCTCGTACTCTGTCCACAATGGGCTTATTTGTTTTTTCGTACTCTTCTTTAGTAGGCCCGATATGCTTATTTATATGACGTATAAGTTCGGAGTGTTTGTCCGAAAGTGATTTTGTCTTATGATCGATTCGCTTTTCTAAAACTGTTCTGGAGACTTTGTTGGCTGTTTCTATGACTTGTTTGGTGCCCTCCAGCTTGGCAGATACTTCTTCAGCGACAATTCTCTTGATCCCCGCTTCAGTTGACTGAGAGTCTAAAAGGCTCTGTAATTCATTCTCTAGTTTGTCCTGACGAACCAAGACGGCCTTTAGATGCTCGGGTGCCTTGACGGTAGTTTCCAGTGGCCCATTTGTTTCAGGTGTAGTGGGGGACTTGAGCTGCTCCAAAGCATCTAGGCGTTTAGCCATAGCAAGTCGCTCCTTCTTGAGTTGTGCAACTTCGTTCAGTAGCTCTTTAACTAAGTTTTCTAGTTGGATGGATACGGAGCTGGCAACTGGAGCGAGAGCTGGAGCTGGAGCCGGAGTATGAAATGTCATGCTGTTAGCATTGAGAGTGGATGCCAGGGCTATTCTTCTTGCCCTCATCTTTCTCAGAGCGTCCATTGTGGGTTTACTTTGGATACCCGTTGGTGCTTCTTGGGGCTGCATGCGAGCTACATACGAAGCAGGCACTGAGTCTCCACCATGTGACAGCATGGATGGTACTATGGGCGCAACTTGATGGGCTGGAGTAGATGCTCCACTACCAATGCTTTGTGGCGACATGATCGGAGCATTATGAGCTGGTGTGAGTGGGTCTTGCGATCCATCCTCAGACTGCTGCGTATTTGGTCTGTGCTGGTCAGATGGTTGTCCTGTAGGGATTGCAGCCGAGCTTCTCCTGGAAGCGGGAGGACTTGGACATGACCAGGGGTTGCGCGTAGCAGCATACTGTTGAGGAGTGAGTGACGCTGTAACTAATTTTCGTGTTTTTAGCAGATGCTGCCTTACCTTGTCTTGAAATGAACTTCTTCGCCCTGGTGGACAGTTTCTCTTCCCGGGTGGACTGTTTCCACGAGATCGAGATTCCGCCGGCCTTTTGTTTCGTGAGCCCATGGCGGAGCTCGGCTGTGGAGCTGAGTATGTGGAAGGGTGTGCATTGTATGAGCTTTACGCATGTCAGTCAGTAAACAATGATGACCATGGCGCCCTAAGTTTTCCCAAGACAGCAGGCGCGGATTGCGCTAGCATTTATACCATTACAGCCGCATCTGGCCCCACATAAGCTTGAGCCGGCTGGCCACCGAGTGCAACACAATTCCTATCTCCTCCTATCTCTAGGGTCTACTCTGTTGTAAAATTACCTCGCTCTTCTGTACTCGCCACTGGCACACGGGCTACGGGCGACGAAAGCGCCTGTTCCCAAGCCCAAACCGCCAAGCCAGCAAAGACGGGGCAGCACGTGCACTGGGGGAACGCGTCTCTATCGCGACCGTAGCGACGTTTTGGTTGCAGCGCGCGCCAGATCATAGCTATGCAAGCGTGGTCCGCCTGCCATTTGCTTGTAATTTTCTGTATTTTTTATATTACACGTACCTAAGCGAGGGAGGGATAACAAGACTGTGAGGAGCCCCTTGTCCACCACCGGCGGATACCGGATGTGGGCGGCGAACAGACATTGTCGCAGGAGCCAGACAATGGGCACGCGAAAGCGGCCGTAACACACAACAAGTGAACGACGACGGTCGCTGCCAATGCTGAGATTGGAAGCGGCTTAGTGGCTAATGGGCCCAAAGGAGACGCACGCGTTGTCTGACCAACAACAGGGGCGCAACAGGAGAATGAGAAGAGGATTTAAAAAAAGTAAGAGCGGAAAGGAAGAAAGACAAAGAAGGGAGGGGGCAGTGGGGAAATTCAGGCCGTTTATATAGCCATGACTAGGTGGGAGCAGTAGCGTATGGGTGAGCAACAAAGAGTGACTAGTGTGCCCAGAGAAAGTCATGCTAGACTAAGGAGGGGGTGGGCTTATGTGGCTTTGGCAGGTAAAGGGGCAAATGATATTTATCTAGGTTATAGTAAGCTAAATATCTAGCTTACAAGCCTGCTAAACCTATATTAGCGCTTAAATATATCTATAGGACCCTTGCCCTATCCCTAGCCCTAACTAACCTAACCCTACCTACTAGTACACCCTCACTCTAACTAACTCTAACCCTAGCTGTATAAATTACGCCAAGCGCTGATATAGGTTAAGCAGGCTTGTGACCCGGACATTTAGCTTATTGTGACCCGGACGAATATCATTTGCCAGGTAAAGGCAGCTGGCTTGCGTTCTTTATGCAGGCTGGTACAGCTGGCACCTGGGCAATGCTAGTAGGACTGGAGCCAGCCCAACCTGATTCGCTGGATACCGGTTACTTTTGGAGTGTCAGCTTTACTGCCAATCAGACGCGTTGCTTGTTCTTGTCCGGTTGGACCGCCTATGAGTCAGCGAGTCCTTGGCCACCCTGTCGCGTGGAGCGTGCTTTCCTTCCCACAAACTCAGTGTCCAGTACTCTAGTAAGCACCCCCCTGCTAGCCTCTCCCGCCCAGACTAAGACCCAACTGGTATTAGTACTCCTACTAGCACTAGAGCGTTACTGCAGCTTCCTGATGTTCTGATGTTATCGTTGCCAGGCAAAAAGAAACACCAACCGTCGCACCTTCCACCCTCCATTCCGCCTCAGATCTCTGTCTCGCTCTCGCGTACACCTCCTCACCTCGCGGCACAATGGCAGCTGTATGTATCTCTCCCCCAGTCAGGCGCTGCCATCACGTGTTTTAGGCTAACCGCATCCCATTCCATGCAGCCCATCACCACCATCGCCGAGAGCAAGGAGCTCAGAGGGCTCAACCTCATCGCCGCGCATTCGCACATTCGTGGCCTCGGCGTCGAGCCAGACACACTCGAACCCAAGGCGTCGTCGCAGGGCCTGGTCGGACAGCAGAAGGCGCGCAAGGCTGCAGCCGTCATCCTTAAGATGGCCCAAGAGGGAAAGATTGCAGGCCGCGCAGTCTTGATCGCCGGCCCGCCCAGCACGGGCAAGACAGCCATTGCGATGGGTATGGCCCAGTCGCTGGGCGAAGACGTCCCCTTTACCATGTTGGCCTCATCTGAGATCTTCTCTCTGGAAATGTCCAAGACCGAGGCGCTGACACAAGCTTTTCGCAAGTCCATTGGTGTACGGATAACGGAGGAGAGCGAGGTCATTGAGGGTGAGGTTGTGGAGATACAAATAGACCGCAGTGTGACAGGGGTAATTGAGTTGCGCATCATCTTGCGCTTGCATGCTAACTCCCTCTCCAGAGCAACAAGCAGGGAAAGCTGACAATCAAGACGACCGACATGGAGACCATCTACGACATGGGCACCAAGATGATCGATGCCATGACCAAAGAGAAGATCATGGCCGGCGACATCATCTCCATCGACAAGGCCTCGGGCAAGATCACGAAACTCGGTCGCTCCTACACACGATCAAGAGACTACGACGCCATGGGAATCGACACCAAGTTTGTCCAATGCCCAGAGGGCGAGCTTCAGCAACGCCGCGAGGTCGTGCACACCGTCAGCTTACACGAAATCGATGTCATCAATTCACGGACACAGGGCTTCCTCGCCCTCTTCTCTGGCGACACGGGCGAGATTCGAAGTGAGGTTCGCGATCAAATCAACACCAAGGTTGCAGAGTGGAAAGAGGAGGGCAAGGCTGTTATCGTGCCTGGGGTACTCTTCATTGACGAGGTTCACATGCTCGATATTGAGTGTTTTTCCTTCATCAACCGAGCCCTCGAAGACGAGCTTGCGCCCATTGTCATCATGGCCAGCAACAGGGGGAACACACAGATTCGAGGAACAGACTACAGGTCGCCTCACGGACTGCCGCTCGACTTCCTGGACCGTGTCGTCATTGTCAGCACACACCCATACAACCCCGAAGAGATGCAGCAGATCCTTTCGATACGAGCGCAAGAGGAGGAGGTCGATGTTACGCCAGATGCTCTGGCTCTTCTGACCAAGATTGGCCAGGAGACCGGACTGCGATATGCAAGCAATTTGATTACTACTTCTGATCTGATTCGCAAGAAGAGAGGAGGGCCAGATGTGACGATTGAAGACGTACAGCGTAGTTTTGCGCTCTTCTATGATCCAACAAGGAGTGTAAAGGTACGTCCATCGCTAGTAAAAAAAAAGCTGGTCTTTGCTGACGCCATGATCAGTTCGTTGCAGACTCTGAGAAACGTCTGATCGGTGATGCGGGCAATGTTTCACTCCATGTCACCAACGGCGCCGACGCCATGGATGTGTCATAGGTGACACATTCTACACCATCTTCTTTTGGCGTAATGAGGTAGGAAAAGGTTTCAGTGATTTGGGTATAGAGCATCCTGTGGATTGTACTGTAGGCACAAGTTAAAAGTCCAGGATGCGTAATACTGCTCAGCCGGGAATGCATTGTTGGGCGAGCAAGGATTTAATGCGTCTTATGTTACCTCGAAGTTTTCAATCCGACTGATTCCGTCATGTGGGGTTGGCGATATGCGCCTGGATCTCTACTCTAGGTGTGCGTGTGTGTGTCGTAACGGTATGATGTGTAGTGTAGTCAAAGGTGACATGTGGAATATCCCTGAAGCTGCAGTATACGTCAAAGGGTATATTCAAATTTCAGTACATTCTGCTACATTGATAGGCTCAACCCAGCCCATTGGACCCAATGGTGTCAATCCACCATAGTGGTAGCAACTGTTCGCTCGGAGCACCAGAACTTGTCGTACACATGTTTCACTTACATGGTGGGTACGTTTCCAAGGGCTTTCGAGTTGGACTCGAGAGGTTTTGAAGCTACACAACGGATACATATAATATATGCGTTCAGATAGGCCCTAGGGGGGCCTGGAGCTAAAGCTTAGCCTATGCGACGGAGAAGACATTCTCAGTACCTTGATAGATCAGGTTGCAAGAATGTCGTGAAGTCGAAGTTAAGTTAGACCTACTTAAGTGTGACTCCATGGTCAGACCGACGCTAATGTCATGGTCGGATTTACGTAGGTATTCGGTACCATACCGGTACACATGTGCAAATGCGCGGATTCCCATCACTCACTACCAACACTGCCACCGCCGCGCAGCGCAACCATGGGATATCATAACCCTAATGCCGATGACGCAAAAAGCTGAATCGCAGAAGCCTCCCAATATATCAAGTGGAGCCTTATAGCGATGCCCAATGCGTATGCGCAAAAACACAGGGGGACTCCGATTCGGGTAAGTATGGCACGCGACAGACGCGTGACCAGGCAGCCCTAACGTCGACAGCTTTCTGTAAACTGGACATCTACCTCGCATGCAATCACCATGACAAGACAATTTCAACCCTAGCAACTACTTTGAAATCACTCTGGACGTCAGCCACCGACCTAGAGGAATCAGGCATCCAACAAAAAGCAAGCTGGAAGCCAGTGGGGCCACAGAGATTTATACAAATGACATGATTACTTTTCACAATGCGAAACACAACTCGGCATCCTCAACCGGGCGTCAAGAATACGCGGCCCTTGCGGACCACTGGCCTACACAAAAAGTGCAGCCTTGCAACAACCCTCCGGGATGAACGGAGACGCTTTTCCATTTGCACTCTTAGTAGTTGTCCACCAGGGATATGTTCGTCAGCCTGCTTGCGCGAGGGATTGATTTAGCAGGCTGGGGTAAGATGCGTGCAGCATCACTGGTCAAGAAGCCGGGTTACGGCATTGCGGTGTCGCGTGCTCTCTTTCCCGATTGCTCTTTCGCCATCTGCATTCACGATTTTGTGTTTATTTCGCGATTCGGGTTCTTTTTCTTGACATCCAACAGTTTGCTGCTCTGGGCTGAGGCTGTAAGAGTGTCTCTCTCTCCTCTTTCCGTCTTACTGTGCTCCGGGTTGGCCCCTTCTTCGAATTCATTGGAGAAACGTGCAAGGCCTTCCCCTCCTGTGGTGTGACGTACCCTGGGTGATCAATTCCACGTTCGCACGCGATCTCAAGATTGGATTGTTTGACAGACATTTCGACTTGACACCGTATATCCTATTGTCAGACTTGCGAGGCTGTGGGCAACTAGCAGACCAGAAGACCACCAGCGACAATGTGGCTCAGGAATATCACGATTGTGCTTACGACAGCAGCACTCGTCACAGCTTCGATCTCTACACCAATATCATCGGACGGTACGACGGATACAAGACCAGTACGACGAGCGCATGATGTCAGAAAGAGGGAGGAGAACCACAAGTACTTCCACGAACCTGGGTATGTGCCTATCCATCTCGGCCCTCTACAAACGACTACGAAAAAGGGATACTGACAAGTATCAGAGGCGACATGAACCTCGGCCACTATGATGCTCGCTATTTCCATGAGGTTGTTTCCGACCAAGAGCGAACAGACACTCAGTCACACATGATCCGAGCGTACCTTGATTTTTTCCGTGAACACAACCTAGATACATGGATCGCACATGGAACACTGCTGGGATGGTGGTGGAATGGAAAGGTGAGAAGTCAACCAAGGACCTGATCGATTCTTGACTGACCTACCCAGCGTCTCCCATGGGACTATGACCTCGATACCCAAGTCGCAGACGCAACGCTGCACCATCTGGGCGAAGTCTACAACCAAACGAAGTACCAATATGCGTCTGCCGATGGTACTGTGCAACGCGAATATCTCCTCGACGTTAACCCCTGGATCTGGGAACGGGAGCGTGGCGACGGCGCTAATATTATTGACGCACGGTGGATCGATACTCGTAATGGCCTGTTCGTTGACATTACAGGCCTTAGTGAAATACACCCCGACACGCATCCAGGGATCTGGAGCTGCAAGAATTACCACATGTACAGGACGGATGAATTGTATCCGATGCGCGAGACAATGTTCGAGGGTGTGAGGGCCAAGGTGCCGTACGATTATGATAAGATCCTCATAGATGAATACCAAGAAAAGGCCTTGATTGAGACAAATTTCAACGGGTACGTTTATGCCACGCAATTACAACATTGTCCAGTAGCTAACTCATTACAGACACCGGTGGGACACGCAGCTCCGCGAATGGGTGCAGACAGAAGAGACGAGGGCGAAAAAGGAGAAGGAGCGCAAGGAGAAGGAAGAAGCAAAGGAGAAGGAGAAACTAGAGCAAGCGAAGCTGGACTAGTGGGCCAGCTGGCCGTGACTTTTGCTGTCGTTCTGCGCATTAGCGTTTTGCATTGCTGGCGCAGAGTACACAATGGCATTGCGGGATGGGATAAGGGGGCCTTGGATGTTGAGCATACGTATTGGTACATAGTTTTTCTGTTGTATTAAACAGTCAATAGATATGATATCTGGGCATGCAAGTTTTGTGAGGCTTCCATGTATAAGTGCACTGTCCTAGTAGAGTAGTAGTGGAGGTATGTGACGGCGACCGGCGCTAAAGCGATGACAAATCCCAGTACTCACTCGTGGAAGCCTTGGAGAACGTCACCGAAGCCTCGAATGGCTCCGCTGTCAGCCACGAGCTGCGAAGCTTTACATTTTGATCATCTACTAACCTTGCCACTTACCCTAGACACAGCAGATTGCACAGCTATATTACCGCCTTCGACTCGTCCAACCCATAGCACAGGCGACTCCATCATGGCAGACACCGATTCGCTCTCCGCCCCCACAGCATCCTCCGACGAACTGCAATTAACACTGACACACCACGGCAAACCCGTCACTCTATCCTTTCCCCGATATGCCACAATATCCGACCTTTCAGACCGCGTTGCAGCCGAACTCTCCATCCCGCCTTCGAACCAAAAATTCCTCCTTGCCTCTAAGCATGGTCTGCAAAAGCCACCCTTCAAAGACCCCACCCTCGCCCTTTCAACCATCGCCTCCAAAAAGATAACCTTAATGGGTAGCACTACTGCTGAAATATCCTCGCTGAACGCAACCATCACCGCCGCCTCTGCGGCCCGGCGACAAGGCCCCATCAAAACCGCCACCCCCGCCCGCCACCGCGACTACAAGAAGATCCAAGAAGAAGCACAGTATACCTTCCACACACTACGGCCGCTCCCATACCTTCCCAACCCCGACCGCTCCTTGCGCTTCCTCGAACGACTGCGCGATGAAGAGGGCATCAAAGCCGCAATGCGCACACACAAATTCAGCGTTCCGCTACTCACAGAAATGGATCCTGCCATGCATACCACGCAAGAATCGCGGACCCTGGGACTGAATAGGAACCGAGGCGAGGTTATCGAGTTGCGCCTACGTACCGATGCGTACGATGGTTACAGAGACTACAAGACGATACGCAATACACTTTGCCATGAGCTGGCGCATAATGTTTGGGGACCACATGATCGCAATTTCTGGGAGCTGTGCAAGCAGATTGAAAGGGAGGTTGCGAGGGATGATTGGAAGAGTGGGGGGAGGAGTGTGGCGGATGTCCAGTATTATGAGCCTGGTGGGGAAGACGAGGTGCATGATCATGGAGGCTGGACGGGTGGCGAGTTCACATTAGGTGGTACTTCGAGCGGGAGCGGGAGTACGGTTGGTGTGGCCGGTAACAACGTGACAATGGATGGACTGAGCAGGAGGGAAGTGCTTGCGAAAGCGGCGGAAGAGAGAATGAAGAGGACGAAAAGGGCTGAGGAAGAAACCGGCGGCTCCGGAGGTGCATCCTAGAGGCGTTTTTTGTTCATTTTCCATCAGACTTGAGAAGCATCATGTGATGCATATATACCCCTTCTCGCAAGCTGCACCTTTGTCTCTCAGGTAGGTTCATAGCCTGATTTCATAGCACCGCATTATTTCTCACCCTTCTACAAACCTGCCATATCTAAACATCTGTCTTCCCAGTTCATATCTCCCTATTACTCAATCTAAGCCAATCATATGGCCCGCTTCGCTTCTACCGCTCCTACATCGGATCAATCATCACCCAAGCGTTGTTGCCCCACAGACTGGGCAAGTTGAGGCTAGCCGCTGCACTCCGCCCGTCCCGACAGCAACGTCACTTGTTCAATGTTCGTGTCTGGTTTCTTCCCTCTCGTTTTCAAACCTCTTATGTCATTTCATAAGGTTGATTTTGTATGCGCTGGATCATATCGCTGGAGATTTGGGGACCTACTTGGACTAAAAATATAGCATTAGCACGTCACCGAAACTGCGCAAAAGGACAGCCGAGTACAATTTTGGGAAAGCAGCAGGTTGCGATTACAGCACCAGCAGAGTTATAAGAGAATAGGTTTCTGAACGAGAAACTTTTCATACCAGCTGTTCAAGTCCAAAGGCATCGGATTCTACCTTATCGCCAGACACACGATTCACAATAGATCCAGCCCCACATCCACATTCTAATCCACGAACCCACAAAACCATCATCACCTATTCCCCCATCGCAACACCTCAAACATCGACAATGAGCTGGTTCGTCCCCTTCGTCCTCGTCCTCGCACTTGCCTGGGCCGCCGTCGGCATCTTGCTTGCCCGCTGGCTCAAGCAAGCTGGCTATGCTAAACCGCTCAAGGGCCGGGATCTCAGTAGCCGCGATTTGTACGGTGGGGGAGCGGGATATGGACGTATGGGGGATCAAGGAGGTTTAAGGGGTCAAGTTCATGGTGCGGGGTCGCGGGTGTATGTTGGTGGAGGGTGGAACGGGAGAACGGTGGGACTGGGGCAGTTTGGGAATGGCGGTGGGAGGGGGGTGTAGGGGGGTGATGGGAGTAGACTGAAAAGAGCTTTTGATTCCGAGGCGGTCGTGGAATCTCGGGAGTGGAAGAAGATGCTAATGTCGTGGGTCAGGGTGTGGTAGTCGTCACGTCAGGTACGTACGAGCCTCCACTACACACCACAAAGTGAAAGCACCTCCATCCCCATCCACACCTCCAACACGCACCAGACCACAAAATCCCCAATCATCCCACACACCACAAACGCACATTCTCTCATTCCTCAGTTCCCAAACGCACCGACACACCCTCTTTCATCTGCTAATGGCCTCGAAGGTGGTCCAGAATCACGCACAAAGAAACGTTTGTCCCTTTCACTCAACAATGCCCTTTCACTTCCACCACCATGGAGCCGCGCACACACCGCTGCATACAGATTCCAGTCATGCACCTCACTAGCGCGTTCGTCCATATCCCCAGTGCTACTATTTAACAATGCGCTCCTCCGCTCCCGCCGTTTCCAATTCTTTCTTTTTTTCTTCAAAGCAGAGTTCGCACAACTGGGTCTTCAGAATCTTACCATCTTTACAATCGTGATAATATTTGTCCTGCTTCATACATACACACACTCAAACATACACTCATACAATCACACATACCCTCGATCAAGCAAGTATCCGGACTTGCTCAAACACCACAACAGCTCTCACATCAACCATTGTTGTTGCGCTTACGTCGCAACTTTGCTATTACACTTGTGCACGCGTGTTGCAAACAAAACAGTGACTGAAGCGCGAAGCTTGAGTCTTTATACACCTATTCACCTAGGTTTCCTTTTGGTAGGATTCATTCATCACATATACAGTATGTTTAGATATCTGTCTTTCTTTATACTTTGACGACCTGTACTGATTATATTCAAGCATCATGTCCGACAACAAGATCTCAAAGGTTGCAGCCACTGCCACTGCTGCCGTCATGGCCTCCTCCAACGCTGCGCGGTCTGCCAACATTGAGTCTACGCCTTCGATGTCATCGGCCTTTCTCGGCAGTCTTCCCGTCACCAGCGAGACATCTGTGGGCGTGGCGAGTGCGCTCAATACAGCACCCACGACTGCAGCGCCCACTTTTCATGCCAACAGGCTCCTGGCCTCCGCCGCGTCCGCAGCAGCCAGCGTGGCGAACCAGGCAACAAACAAGCCTATTACAGCCTCTTCCTTTGCTGAGACTCTGAGGCGCTTCTTCTTCAATGAGATCGAGCTCCCGCCCCTTCCGGAAAAGCACAGAAACCTCATCATCGCTCTGACCACCGGTGTTGCAGCAGGGAGCGCACTCTGGTCCTGGTACAGGGCGCACATCAATCGGCAAGATCGCAAGGACAAGATTGAATTCGCCATGTGCGAGATCATACAATACTGCGAGACAATGCCGGAGGAAGAGTGGGAGGCGGGTCTGAATGACCCTGAGAACTTTATAGGATTGCTCCATCTTGAGATTGTCAGAAACACGAAGAAGATCTTGGATAACTCGGAACGCAACATTGTGTTGGCCAAGTGCAAGCGTCACATTCACAATCGATCTGACGCCCATTTTCGTCAGAGGAAGCGTCAGAAGAGGCAGGCTGTGAGGGATGCGGAGGTGGAGGCCGAGTACGAGAAACTTTTGGAAGAAAGTGGCAGCCAGGTCCAGGTACCGCAAAAGGGGGCTTCGGTGAAAGAGGCGGGACCCCTTCTGGGAGGTCCGAAGCTCACCCCAGGACCGCGGCTGGCGGGCAGGAGGCACAAAAATATCGAGTGGCATCTAAACAATGGATCTGGTGGTGCCACACCGGGACGGAAGACGATACCTCATTATCCAGGTCGCGGGCCCTTCACACCGAGTGTACACAACCCGCCAAAGAACGGTCGGAGACCATCATCACGACCGAAGCATTCTCATAGTCCGGCTATACCGTCTCCTTTGACTAGGACCCCAGAGGCCCCATCATCCGAGAGCCATACACCAGCTGGACCTCCACCGGTAGTAGCTCCTGAGGTTGGTACATCAATTGCCAACTCACCGATTGCGTCACTCAAGGGCGGTACTCCGCCTGGCTATCCGCCCAACCAGTCGCCTGCAGATGGACCCCAAGAGGGGCTTCGAAGTTCGCCACTTCCTCTGCCACTATCGTCTACCCCCACATCATCAAAGGGTAGAAAACATAGCAGGTCTTCTTCTTCTTCTTCTTCTAGTAACGATGACGACGAGGTGCCTCCCAGACAGCCTCGAACACTTCTATCGGCTGGACACACTCGAACACAACTGGGTCCATCCGTCGGAGGCAAAACCCTGACCACCACTCAGATCATCGCCAGGGCTTTCGACCCCAATGCTCTGGGCAACAGGCCCTACCAATCGCCTGTCCCCGAAAAGAGGAAGAAGCTCGGCCTAGACAAGTCTGGTCGACCGGGGAAGCGTTCGCGGTCGGGGGACTTTTCCGTCATGTCGGAGAGGGACAACGAAGAAAGAATGTTCGCAACCATCTTCGAAGGCGCGTCTCCACAGGTCGACCCTCCTGCGGGTGTTCCTACGTACCGAGTCAGCGAGAGCAAGGGATACTGGAGGGAAATCCTCAAGCAGAGGGGGCTGCGGGAGTTGCAGCGCAGAATCTTTGGAACGGCGCCGGCGCAGAAGGTCCAGGAGCCTGTGGAACAGGTAGCTGAAGAAGCCTCTCCGGTTGAACGATACCAACAAGATGAGGAGGCCCAAATGATGGAAGACATTTTCAACTATGAAGACCATGCGAGCGAGCAGCTGGTGGGTGAAGAGCCCATGGACGAAGAGACTGGAGCTGGCGCTCCAAGCTCTGATGTCAATGCAGCACCCACGACATCAGACCTACTTGGGGTGGCCGAAGAGATTCTGGACGCTAAGCTCCAGGAGGCCGAACGGGGCATGGAAGAAGGAGTGCGTTGGGAGCAGCAGACGTCAGTAAATGACGAAGTCAACGAGGCTCCAGTACCGTCATCTCCTCCACGACCTTCTTTGCCGTCTCCTCCACGACCTTCTTTGCCGTCTCCTCCACGGCATTCTCCCTCGGCACCTCCTGCTAATCCAACGGTGCCTGTCTTGTTGGTTCCAGTCGCGGCTGCTGTCGCTGTTGCTTTCTCTACACCAGCAGTCCAGCGTTTGTCTCCACAGGGTACACAGACTGTAGGAATCCAGCAGCAGCCCGCCGAGTACCAGTCTTCGACTGTCACTGCACCCCAAGAGCCCGCTGAATCCCCACAGCGCGATATCCTGGGAAGACAGTCGCAACAACTAGAAACCGTCGAAGAGGTCGACGAGGGACTATCACCGTCGCCAGCAGCCGAAGCTGCGACAGCAGCAGATGCTCAGATACAGGTAAAGGTGGAAAGTCCACCAGACATGGCTCCTCCAGCCAGAAACACACGCACAGCTGCCGCGCGCCGTGCATCCACCAACCCCCCATCCTCCTCTGTGTCGGCTCTACCCACCCCGAGCCGTCCTCCTCGCCGACTCTCTGCGTCTAGGATCCCGACCGGCACGCGGCAGGTACCTCGTCCGAGACCAGCGCCTGTCATGGAAGCCCCGCCTGCCCCGCCAGCTCCCAAGCGGAGGGCATCGGTGGCTACGCCTGCTCCCAAGAGGAGAACACCTGCGGCCAAAACAGCTCCTAAGAGAAGAACACCTGCGGCTACGCCAGCAACGCGCAGGGAACCGACGGCTGCACCGGTGGCTGAACCGGCTCCTACGCCTGGGACGAGGCAGAGTTCGCGAGTGACGAGGTTCAAGGGTACGTTCACCAAGTAGAGATGGGTTGCTACTTGGTGTCCTCTTGAGCAATGTGTGGAGACAGCATTGGGGTGAGTGGGTGGGTTGAGACTGAGCAGCAGGAGGGTTGATGTACGCTTCACAAAGTGGGTTAGGATTGCTGAGAGATCCGGAAGATGGACCGTACACTCTTGACGGGTGCGTTATGATGGCGGGAGGATTTTTTGTCAACGTTATAGCGTCTGCTTTTCTTTGTTTTTTGCTTGAGTTTTAATATCAACGGGACGCTGGCTATCCAAGGGACAGAGTTGGACATGTTCCTTGGGGCTGAGTCACGAGAGACTTTTGATAGTTTATGAGCATGCACTGGACGTATTCTTTCCCTAATTGAAGTCATTCGTTCGTCCTCCTTTTGTGTCTGTGGGTGTGAGATGTTGGCGATGAGAAGTGTGATGGATGTACTGGTATGTAGGATGTGTGAATAGAGGTAGCCCTATGCATGTGCCTGGATGTGGTAATATGCGTAGTCTGTCCCAGATGATTGGATGGTAAGAGTGCATTTGCATCTTCCAGGTTAGTAGTGGATCACGGAAGGTTGCATGGGGAGGAACATGGGCAGACACAAAACAAGATGGGGGATAAAGCTGGGCCTTCAGCTACCGAAGCTCTTCCGATGGGGGGCGATGGACATTGAAGACATGCTGCGCGACACAGTAGCACATGGCGAGAGGGAGAGAGAGAGAGAGAGAGAGAGAGAGAGAGAGAGAGAGACGGAGAGAGAGAGACGGCAGATGGACTGACACTTGCCATTGCGCCAGATGACCACCCATCCCCCCCCCTCCTCTTCTCCTTCCGCATCTCCCCTCCGTTGTTTTTGATGCAGGTACAGGACGCCTTGTACCCATAGCGCCGCCAGTTGTTCCAAGAAGATTCCCTCAGCAGGTGATCTCCGCGTTCGCCGATCGCATGCAACCCGCAAACCTTCATGCTCACCGGCCACAGTCGCTGTTCGCAAACCATCCCTTGTCCACACAAGGCTACGAGAGGGCACGCTGCGGCAAAGTTGTGCGCGACCTCGATGCAAAAAGATTCGACGAGCAGCACTGTGCACCGAACAGAAAGAAGAGGCGTCGCGCCCGAGACTGTATAGCGCGCCACGAAAAGAAAGCAAATCATTTGTCCTCTTGTCCTGCGCTTGCCCTTGCGCTCGCTACCTACCTTTCCCACCCCCTCCCTCAAAGGCCATTTGCGCGTCGCACGCGTTGGGTGTGCATCACGACATTTTCGCACTTTTTCAAGAGAAGGCTGGCAAAGGAAAGGTGATTTTTGATTGGCAGGCAGTTTTGGGGGCGTGCTTGGGACTATGAAGTGAAAAGACAAGAAAAGTCTTTCTTTTTCTCTCTCTGCACTCTGGACGTCGTAGCAGAGGAGGAGAGGGCGAGTGAGTGAACCTGGGGAAATCGCTTAGCGTGGTTTCCTCTCTTTGCATCTTCCACCATCTCTTCCACACACAACCTTTCGTTCTCGCCGCGCTTCCCCCCCTTTTGGCGCGCCCAATCGCCACCATGCCGGACAGCGGGTCAGAGACGAGCGCTCAGCTGGAGCCTGAGCTGCGCGACATGAAGATTGAGGAAGGCGCGACCGCCTCGGACGGGGGTGAGAGCGAGGCCATGCTGCAGGTGAAGGTGGAAGAGGCAGAGACGGAGACAGAGGCAGAGGCAGAGACCAGATCTCCCTCTGGAGCCCACGGCCATGCACACGCCCGCGATCACACCCACGGCCACGGCCACGCCTCGACGCCCTCGGCCATACCGCCCAGGCTCCAGACGCGCTCCAAGTCGCGCTCGCCCGCCGTCAAGTCCGACTCCAACCCACCATCGCCCGCCAGCGCCCACGAGGAGACGGTCGGCGGCGACATCATGTTGAAGATGGAGCCTGGCAAAGCCCCGAAGCTCTCGCGTGCAGCCTCGCAGAAAATCCATGCACGTCCGCCGCCCCTCTATCTCGACCTGCCCGACTCCACCGAGGCGGCCAAAGCAACCTTCACCGTCTTGCCCGAATGCACCTACGCCAACAAGAACATTGGCACCACAGACCCGGCCTTGGAGTGTGATTGCCAGACAGAATGGGGTGAGTGGGACACGCATAGCCAGCCCGACCTATCAATGATGTTATTAGCAGCTTGCTAATTGGGATCGCAGACCCCGTCCTCCATGTCAACAATGCTTGCGGCGAGGACTCCGACTGCATCAATCGCGCCACCAAGATGGAGTGCGTGGGCGACTGTACCTGTGGCCGAAAATGTCAGAACCAGCGCTTTCTGCGAAAACAGTACGCCGACGTCACAGTCATCAAGACAGACAAGAAGGGCTTTGGACTGCGCGCGAACAAGGACATGGCCCCCGGTGATTTCGTCTTCGAGTACATTGGCGAGGTCATTGACGAAAAGACGTTCCGCCGTCGCATGCTTCAATACGACCACGAAGGCATCAAGCATTTCTACTTCATGTCACTCACAAAGGGCGAATTCGTCGACGCAACCAAAAAGGGCAACCTCGGCCGTTTCTGCAACCACTCGTGCAACCCCAACTGCTTCGTTGACAAATGGGTCGTTGGCGACAAGCTGCGCATGGGCATTTTTGTGGAGCGTAGAGTTCAAGCGGGCGAGGAGTTGGTTTTCAACTACAATGTCGATCGGTACGGCGCGGATCCCCAGCCCTGTTACTGCGGAGAGCCAAACTGCTCTGGCTTTATTGGCGGAAAGCAGCAATCCGACAACGCTACAAACTTATCCCATGCGACCATTGAAGCACTCGGTATCAATGATGGCGATGGTTGGGACACGGCTGTCACGAAGAAGCCTCGCAGGAAGAAGGCGAGTGAGGATGACGAGGAGTATGTTAATGATCTCCAACCGCGAGAGCTGGATGAAGACGGAGTCACAAAAGTCATTCCAGCTCTACGGCAATGTACTGAAAAATGGATTGCTGTCAAACTACTTAGCCGTATACAACAAAGCGATAGCGACAGAGTCGGGCATCGCATAATACGCATGCACGGCTACGAAACACTGAAAAAGACGTTGATCGCCTGGAAAGACGACACAAATGTCATTTTGCAAATTCTCGACATCCTCCACAAGCTACCTCGAATTACCCGGAACAAGATCCAGGACTCAAAAATTGAGGAAGTCATGGAGACGTTGACGAGTAATGAGGATGAGCGGGTATCAGAGTCGGCCAAGGAACTACTGGCAGCCTGGAGTAAGCTGGAAGTTGCATATCGGATACCCCGTATGAAGAGGGACCCCAATGCCAGCACCCCGGTCCCCACCATCAATCACTTTGAGCGGCGAGAGAGAGGGCGTGAGCGATCCAGATCCAGGTCGCGATCACCAACGATAGCAGCACCAAAGGGTCCTGCCACTCTAAACGCTCCGTCTGGCCCCCGGGCATTGAATGCACCTCGTGGTCCGGCTGGTTTCTTCAGTGCTCCACGTCCGGTCCACCGACCGCGACCCTTCACCAATCCACTTCCTCCTGGATGGTTCCAGGCGACAGCTGAGAATGGATCAACGTATTTTTACAACTCCACGGGCACTACACAATGGCAACGACCATCACAACCTGCTGACCAACCGCCTCCACCCCCTCCAAAGGCCAAAGCCAACACACAATTGCTGCAGGACATCATCTCCAGCATCACTGCTAATGTTGAGCCTAGTGGACCATCGGCATCAAGTACGCCTAAGCCGGCGGCCGATGAGGACTCAGCCAAGAATTCGAAGACGGAGAAGTGGCGAAGTCTACCTCAAGAGAAGCAGGAGAAGATCTACGAGGCGACTGTAGGTTACATCTGGTTGTCGTATTGCCAACCGCTAATGTCCTCTAGTTGTCGACGCATGTCATGTCAGTCACGTCGCATTACCGCAAAAAGCTCGAAAAGGATGAAGTCAAGCGCTTGAGTAAAGAGGTATGCCAGACAGTCATGTCATGACTTTGGCACAACATGCTAATCATGACCAAAGGTAGCAAAGAAGCTTGTAAGAGGTGACTACAAGTCGGGACGGGTCAAGGACCCCACGCAAAAGATCAGCTCCAGTCACGAGAAGACGATCAAGAAATACGTAAAAGAATTCATGGACAAGGCCGTGCGAAAGAAAGAAGAACGCGAGAAGCAGAAAGGTGCATCTAGCAAAACGAAAGTCGAAAGCCCGACCCCGAGCACACCAGCTGGCGAAAACAAGACCGAAGACATAGCATGGGACACAGCCGCCTCCCCATCCGGCTCGCCCTCCGACCTCAAACGCAAACGTGAAGAAGAAGACGGCAGCCAATCCCCGAAAAAAACACGAACTAGCAACGGAGACGTCGATCCCGCACCCCCACTCCCACCACCTCCGCCCCCACCAGCAGAAGATATGCCTGCCGACCTGTACGACTCGAATCACACGCCCATGGATGATGCATCCACGCCTTCCACACACGAGTTGGAGCCGTCCCCTGCAGCTATCAAAAGTAAAGGGTCAGCTTTTGTAAACGGCGATACAAGTCCTATGCAACTCGTCACGCCCCCTACCAACGGCTCTGCGGACAAAATTGCACACTTGCAAAATGGACACACTTGATCTGCATTTGAAAGGGAAAAGCAATACATCTTTGCTTCGGCGCTCTTGACACCCTCACACCCCCACATATACATCATATTGTTGATTTGAACCAGAGGCAGCAATAAATCTCATACATATACGTGCCTATTTTGCCCTCCCACTCTCATCCGCCCTTGTACTTGTTGCGGTACTGTAGGACATGGTAGAACGTGGAATTCAGACGGGAGTAAATGTTCCTTGATTCTGGTATAGGTAGTAGTTGGATGCTTCTTGCTGTGATCTGGCCTGCTTTGTGATGTGTTTCCTATACTACGTTGGCCTTGAAGTTGTCCTCTGTATATGCCCGCTCATTTGGGGTTTAGTAGGTAGCATGGTTCCTTCCCAGGTATAGTATTCTAGGGTCAGACTAGAATCTAGTCTAGTAAGCGAGGCTACACAATACCTAACTACCGCCCCTAAGCCTATTTATTACCTGTTAGCTTAGCATCCGATGGCAGCCATAACATGTCTCACAACTTACAGACCCTCGTGCGCTGCCATTCCACGACTAATCTTCCCAACACAAAGGGGTGGAAAACTCCGTACATGGTTTCCAGAAAGAGCTTTGGCTTTTGCAGCATCGCCGTATTAGGTCTAGACTCTACCGTTGTCCGTAACCGTGGGTGCCTACCTACCGGTACCATTCAAGGCCCCAACTTGTTTCGGATCCCCTCGCCTTTGTCCGTACGACATCAGCCCACTGTATCGGGTTCGTATCTTCATTGGGGTCGAGGTGGGTGCTTTTATTTTTTGATAGCTTGGTGGGAAATGCTTGTTGTTGTGGTGTTGACATTGTTTGGTGAGGATTTCATGCATCTGCGTAGGTATCCACCTGGACTTGTAGAAGTGAACGGCAGTGATAGCGATAGGAGTGTAGGTAAGAGTTGGAAAGTATCAGCGCTTGAAGATGCCAGGGATAATGTTAGATAGACGATTGCCACGATACTCGCGATGGTGTCCTCTCCCTTGACCCATAGGTAGCATTGCGCTGTCACTGTCAGCCCGTACGATAGGTAGGGCCAGACCCTCAAGCCATGCACAACATTACTGTACCCTGCACCAGTAGCCCAGTCCGTGAGGCTCTCCAGCATATGCGCCTCACTTCATACCAGACCATGTGGCCCCATCAGTCCACGTTGGGCTTACCGTCAGCTGGGAAATCCCACGCCACACTCAAATCGGGGGTGCTGGTGTAACCTCATGGAAGGCTGTGGCGAGATCTCGCGTAACTTGGCGGATAGCATTTCTAGCACATGGCTGCTGAGCTTACAACATCTTCGAAATAGGAACTGAGGTCCGTAGGCTTTCATTAGAATGTCGTGTTTCGACGTGGGCGTACGAGCGGTACAGAGGTGTTTCAAAGGCTTAAAAAAAAGGTAGAAGAGAAGTTTGACAGGTAATTTTTTATATCTTGAGTAGGTACAGCGTTGAGTCGTTTTTAGGGCTGGCATGGGGAAAGATCGTGATGTATCTAACTATAGGTATCTAACACATTCAAACAAACCCTTCACCACTTCGGCGACCGCGATACACACCAAAAACGCCAAGTGTGCAGCTGAACTCTCGCCTTACCGCTCCACACCACTCGGTCACAGATGCGACCTTTTACTCTAGGGAAAATGCTCCCCATTCTCATCCCCGCGCACCAGAAGCTGATCAGCAGGTCCGCTTACTATTTTGTACAATGTACTGTGCCACTGACATTGCATGCACGTCTCCTAGCGAATCATGGATACGGTATTGGACTTTGACGTCCTAAGGTAGCCAGATCTGATGTTTCTCACCATCGTTGAACCCGTTATTAGTGGTTTGGCGTGTTTAGTCCTGTGCAACCTGGACGTGGTGGGACAGAGCGTCGGCGTAGAACTCAGCTGGTTAGTGTAGGGCTGAGTCGTGGATGCTAGCTCTGCAGTGCACTTTTTGTGGTGGAAATCTAGAGATGGTGTATAAGAGGGCTGAGTGTTTCTTGCTGTTGCTCTTAGTCCGCTTGGTACAGTCTTCCTTGCTGTTTTCTGAAGACACGCCATCTTCTAATTCTATCGATTCATTCGCTTCAAAGCGTATAACACCCTATACATAATGTACATCAACACTTTGGTCCTCGCCGTATTAGTCCCTCTAAATACCGTACAAGCTTTCAACCTCACCTCCACTACACCACCACCCCAACACACACCCAACAGCTCCCACCAAACCGCCACCACTCTCCTCACTTGGGCCCGATCCAAGCTTCCCAGCACCACCAAACGAACCTCCTGCCCCCCAGTCTGGTCCACCATCTCCACAGCCCTCACCGCGCAATTCCTCGCAGACGGCCAATGCACAGATGCCGCTCGCGCCGCCATCCGCGCCGCCTTCCACGACTGTTTCAACGGCGCTTGCGACGGCTCGCTCATCCTTGCCGATGAGTGCGCGAATGCGGAGAATAGCGGATTGCAGCAGTTGTGTAGTGCGCTGTTGAATATATCAATAGAGAACCAAGTTGGTGTGGCAGATCTGATTCAGTTCGCCGCCGCCCACGCTATCAAAACTTGCCCCGGTGGTCCTACCGTCCCTGTCGTGGTTGGCCGTAGGGATGCCAGTGAAGCGAATTCTCAGGGTGTGTTGCCCCATGGAGATGCACTGGGTGGGGATTTAGTCACTTTGTTTGGTATGTAAAATTCTCGGCACATCACTTACAATTTTCTTGATCTGTACATTATACAACGCCTTCAAGTAGTCAAGCCACTCACCCCCCTAACCCCCCCAAAGACAAAAACTAAACCAACCCCCCAGCATCCAAAGGCCTCACCCCGACCGACCTCACCGCCCTCATTGGTGCCCACACAACCGCCAAACAACGCATCACCGATCCAACACGCGCCGAAGCCTCCATGGACTCTACCCCGGGAATCTGGGACAACCGATTTTACACCGAGGCCAGTGCGGGCAGTGCGCCGTTTACCCTTGCCGCGGATGGAAATCTTGCGCGGGAGCCATCGACGGCGGGGCCGTGGGCAACTTTTGCAGCGAGCAAGGCGGCGTGGGACGAGGCGTTTGTGACGGCGATGGTGAAGTTGGGGTTGTTGG